ATCAGGATAAGCCAAAGAGAACTCTGTTTATAGTTTAAGGACACATGGACAGATTATTCCAAGAGGTATCTTCTGTGATCCATCTTAACTGTTGGTGTCCATTAGAACCACCTAGCAAGTTTTATAAATTAATAAATGTATATAATAACTAATCAGTAAATTAACTGATTAGAAAATCTCTGGGCTCTATTTAAGCCGCCAGGGTAAGGTCTGGTCATTATTGAGCTTTAAAGTTGACCAGGTGAACTTTATTTTTATTGAACCATAGCTGAAGTACAATGCTATGTTAGTTTCAGGTGTATAACATAATGATTTGACATTTGCATACATTATGAAAATGATCACCACAGTAAGTCTAGTAACCATCTGTCCCCAAAGTTATCAGAAGATTATTAACCATATTCTTTTTGCCATATATTAATTAATCCCTGTGACTTATTTATCATATCACTAGAAGTTTGTCTCTCTTAATCCCCTTCACTTATTTCTCCTATTTCCCCCATCGCACTCCCTTCTGGCAATTTCAGGTTTTTGGTATCTGTGAGTGTTTTGTTTTTTAGATGCTACATATAATTGAGACAATGTGGTATTTAACTTAGCATAGAACCCTCTAGATCTATGTATGTTGTCACAAATAGCAAGTTTTTTTTATGGCTGAATAATATTCGTGTGTGTGTGTGTGTGTGTGTCACTTAGGTTACTTGAATTAGTGTTTTTGTTTTCTTCAGGTAAATACCAGAGACGAAATTGCTGGATCATCCAGCAACTCTATTTAAAAATTTTTTTTTAGCTCCCCTCTTTTTTTACTGCCATAAGCTTTATGGGGCGATGTCTTTTTTTTTTTTTTTTTGGCCACACCGTGACCCCTGCAGTGGAAGCTCGCAGTCCTAACCAGTGAATTCCCATCTATTTTTAATTTTTTTAAGGAAACTCCAAACTATTTTCCATAGTGGCTGCATCAATTCACATTCCCACCAACAGTGCACAACGGTTTCCTTTTCTCCACATCCTCCCAGATATCTTTCAAACTACTGCCACTGTGCTGGGATTTGGAGAATGTGAAATGTTATGAATGCCCTTTGAAAGTGACGTCTTGGCCGCACCTACTGAAGCCCACGCACCTAGAGCCCGTGCTCTGCGACAAGAGAAGCCCGCGCACCACAACGACGAGTAGCCCCTACTCGCGGCAACTAGAGAAAGCCCGGGCGCAGCAACAAAGACCCAACACAGCCAAAAATAAATAAATAAATAAAATAAGGGCTTCCCTTGTGGCGCAGTGCTTAAGAATCCGCCTGCCAATGTAGGGGACAAGGGTTCAAGCCCTGGTCTGGGAAGAACCCACATGCCGCGGAGCAACTAAGCCCACGCGCCCAGAGCCCGTGCTCCACGAGAGAAGCCACCGCAATGAGAAGCCCGCGCACCAAAACGAAGAGTAGCCCCCGCTCGCCGCAGCTAGAGAAAGCCCGTGTGCAGCAACGAAGACCCAACGCAGCCAAAATAAATAAGAAAGAAATGAAGTCCCTATTTTCTATAGCTTTCGGGCTCCCCTAAACATAAGCCTCGCTGGTTTTCAAAGCTTGACTTTCTAGGGCCTTGTCTTCCGGTGCAGGAGCTGACTGGGGATCCCGGCGTGAGGCTCGTCCGTCCGCTGGCTCCTCCGGGAGGGCCTCTGCGGTTGTGATGTCCCTCCCCGACTCCCTCCCGCTTGTGGGCCCCGACCTGGGGATGTGCGTCTGAGGAGACTGAGTCTCTGCCCCCTCTTACCTGTCTCCTGGTGATTTCTTTATCTCTTTAGTGGTGAAAAATCTTTTCTGCTGGTCCTGAGGTGGTTCTCAGAGACAGTAGCTCTGCAAGTAGTTGTAATTTTGGCGTGCTCCTGGGAGGAGGTGAGCGCAGCGTCTTCCCCGTCCACCATCTTGATTCCTTCCCCCACCAGGTGATTTTAAAGAGCTATCAGGGTTGAGAATCCCGGTGTTAAGCAGTTAGATCCAGGCCTCATTATCTGAACTATTCCTTTCTCTCTTGAACCTGTAAATTAGTTTTTTCTCTTACAGGTTTGCTAAAACAAAATCAGTAATTCCGGGCACGTGTCAATCACCAGAGATTGTTTTACTTTAACACCTAACAAAATAAAATATTCCTCATCTTCCACTCCCTTTTGTTTTAATGACACTGTGTTCTCCTGGCATTCCTCATACCTGCATGGCAAGTTTCTCACCCATAACCTATAAATACTTGAGGTCTGTAGATCTTATTCCTATGAAGTCCCTTTGCTTTTCTTTGCATCTTGGGTAATGGCACCCACTTATATGGCTTTAGACACCCCAGGTGTAGCAATAGCTTAGATTTCAATTTCTAGCTCAGATAATCTTGAGTTCAAACATATTCATCCAATTGTCTGTTTATTACCTTTACGTAGATGGCTACAATTGTCCTCAGTTTAAATTATCACAAGTCTGCTTATTAGTAAATTTTAAAACAGGTGAAATGGACAAAGCTACTAATATCCTCATAACATCTTTTTATCTCTGTAGTATTTATAATTCTGCCTCATTTAATAAAAATTCCTAATGTTTAAAAAATTTTTCTTTTACCTTGACCATTCCGTAAGTTCTACTTGATGAATCCTTTCCAAAACCAACATTTGGCTTTATTGATACTATTATTTCTGTTTATTTTCAATGCAGCAGGCAATCCCATCCACATCCTCTAGAACCTTATTATTGTAATGCCGTTGCCAGTCTGAACTGTGTGATTCCAACCATAGTTGGGGGAATTGTTTTTACAATTTGTGCCAAATTAGAACCAACTAAAATGGTCCTGGGCTATTTATTCATTGGTTAGTTTGAGCAAGAGTTTCTCCAACAGCTAATAATCACCAAGAGACCGAAAAGTCATATTAGTTATTGGTATCGCCCTCTTCACATTCGCTGGAATCACATGCACCCTTGAGGGGGTCTAGGGCAAGAATGTATTTTACTCTCTGTTCCTTACTGAATTTTTCCACTAATACTTTTGCATAGACTACCATTTCTCTTGTTATAAAAGTGTTTTAAAAGTCAGGGTAGGTGAATCATTCCACATTTTCATAATGACAAAATATCAAATTTGTGTGTGTTTGTGTGTGTTTATTCTTGGGTTTGTAATGCAGTCCTTGTTGACTACTACAAAGGCCATTGCTAGTCATTTGCACCATGTTAGTAATATGTGTAGGATGAGGACATTTCCTATAAACAGAATTTCAGCTATAGGTGCTATTTGTTTAAACATAACAAGAAATAAAAATGTAAATAATGTGAATGATTTAGTTTTGTTTGCTCAGTAAGCACAAGCCTGGAATGAACATGAGATGGACATTAGGAATCTGATTTGCACTTAGTCTTAATTCTTACATACTTATTACATGTTCAGAGAAAAATAAAGATACGGGTTTTCATTACAACATGGTCCTTAAACACAGGCAACTTCTACGTTTGGCACTCAAAGGTGATTTTGCCCAGTACTGGATAAAAATCAGCTGTGTAGGACTTAATAATGAGTAACAATACGTACTTCAGTATACTAAAATCAGAGTCCAACGAATAGGGTACCAGTGAGAACTGATGCCTGAGGTAGGTGGAGTGAATGATTTATAGATCCCATCTTCAAAAGTTTGTCCACATCAAGGCCAAATACAGTCCAGAGAACTTTAATGTGATCACAGAAATTATACTAGTTATTTTGACATTTTTAGAAAACAAGAAGTGGTGCTAGAAGAATGGAGGAGTCAAGTTTTGCCCTAATTTTAAAAGTAATACTCAAAGGATGTTTTAAATTCTACAGTGATGAGCTTGAAATTAAAACCGGAACGATTGTAAAAAACAGATGTTTGTGGCTAATTTTTAAAAGAAGGTGTAATCATTAATAAACAGCATTAGGCATTACACTAATTCCCTTTCTCAATAGATTGACCAACACATTAGGAGGAAATTATTCTGTATCCTGGTTGCAAGAAGACTTAGTTTCTCATGATCTTCCAATAGACAAGATACACTGAGTTAATCTCCACTTAAAGATGATTGGCACGTTGATAGGTATTATCCTAACTAGTTGATATTCAACTTTGGCAATGTTAACATTTTGGACAAGATAATTGTTTGTTTGGGGGAGGCTTTCCTGCCCACTATAAGTTGTTTAGCAGCACCCCAATCTCAACCCTGTACACACTTGTAGCATTTCCCACCATCATGTCAATCAACACTGTCCAGACGGTACCTCATCTTCCCCACACCCACGCCCCACCCAGTTAAGAAGCATTGTTTAGAAGGCGGTCTCTTGAGGCATGCCTAATATCTTTCCTAGTGAACATATTTTCCCTAAATGTGTCTAAAATTTGCCAATGATTTCGTGTCAGAAGACCATATGAGAGATGCAAGGTAACAATTTATCTCAGCTGGCTAGTATTTACTACAACTGAACTGAATACAATCAATACAATACAATGAATTTCTCATGGATAGATACAGAGTCCTGCATTTAAATCAAATAACCAATTTCATAAGTACAAGTTAAAGGAAACTTGTCATGGAAAGAAATCTGATGATGGTAGTTGATCGCAAATTCATTATAATTGATATAAGTATTACAAGATTTTTCTTTAAACAATGAAACCTTAAGTGTTAGTATTATAGAGAATAAACTTCAAATCAAGGAAGGTGATAAAGCCATTATAATTTGGTCTTAAAAACACTATGATCATTTTTGTATCACATTTTGAGAAGAACAGAGGTTCAAAAGAAGGGTACTAAGATTATGAGAACTTTAGCATCCATGTAACTTAAGTAATGACCAAGGGAAACCAGAAAGTTAAGACTGAAGAAGAGAAAACCCAGGCAAATATGGAAGGGGGATAACAATATTGGAATGGTTGTCATGTGGAATATGGGGTACATTCTGTTTTGCACAAAGAATTAGAAACAATGAGTAGAAGCTATAGGAGCCTAGAAATGAGAAATCACAACTAGGTAAATTTAATCACAAATTTACTTAACCTGAATTACATTGCTTTTTATAGAGAAAACCATATTTATGAAATCAGCATGTTCATGTATGAGTTCGTGGTTTCACACATAGTAAGATGAACAGATGTAAACAAAAGTACATTTAGTGGCTGTATCTTTAAGTGTATCAATGTAGAGGTGCTTAATGAATACTAAAATCCAGAAAACAGAGTTGGTATTCTTCCTCTGCTTGTCTAAGGATGGGTTTTCCTTTCAAATGCAGTCTTCCTTATGGTGCCACTTTGTCCCCAAAGGGTGTTGCAATTACTTTTAAAAAATCAATAAATCCACAGTTGTATTAAGAAATATTTTATTAACAAAACAGTAAATTCCACTTGCTTAGCATTTCCAATAATGGATAAGTTGGCCTTGCAACAGAAGAACAAAACAAAACAAAACCCTTAGGTACCCAATCACACAAAGCACTAGAAGGGTAGGGTCATGTGGCCTTTCTTTGATATCTTAGGGATTGACCACCTCACACATTATTGTAGTATTTTTTTTTTTAAAGGCAACACATTACATGGATAAAAAAGAAGCATATTCAATCAGAAAAGTTACAGTCTAGAGATGTAATCAAATTTATGCCAGGTAGTGTTAAATCCTCTATTAACTGCCAACTATGCATGGAACCCTGATACATTTGGTATGAAGATACTTGGGATTTTATTCATATCTTTTCTCTCCCTAGCTCGTGTTCCTCTCTTTTCTTTCCACATTTACAAAGAAAGAAAGAAGAAAAAAAGAAAAAAAAAATGCTAGATTTTGTGTAGGCCAATAACATTAGAAATATTTTTACCGACAATATTGCACGAAAGTTTAAAATTTATGCTGGAAAGAAACACTGAAATCAGTTCCAAACAACATGCTTCAGAGATATACTGCTTAAAAATACCATTATTTAAGTTATTTTCTATCACAATTTAGAATCTTCCCAGATGGAAACTAGTTCAAGTTCAGTAGATCAAATGGAAAAGCAACCATTTTTTTTTTAAACCTCAAGATGTAAATGAGTGGTTTTATATTTACCTTCTATTTCACTGGCTCTCCCTGAGTAAGACTGGATGAGAGGAAAACAACAACTACTTATGAATCCTTTAACCTGGCAAATTAAAAAAGAAGAAAATCTGAAACACAAGTAATGGATAATAAATTTTAGTTTTATACCTCTACGTTCTGGGTCATGAAAACCCTTTAAGACATTTCATATACAGCAATTACTTGGCAACCATAGATGGTGGTGATTTGCTATGAATTATACATATATCTAAGGTGCTGTATGTCTGAAATCCAGGCCACGTCTTGGCTTTTTTCATCAACTGAAGTATCACAGAAGATGTTTTGCATTTTTTGCCTTTTCTGATTAAAGCTAATTGTAAAAGTATTCTTCTCTTCCATGAAATCTAATATCATTCTTTTAGGAGATGTTAAAGTAATGCGACCAATTTTTACTGAGGCATCACCTTCCAATCTAATATTGCATTTCCTTCTCATACTAATAATTTATTGCTATGAACATCATTGAAACAATATGCAAAAACAAGTGAATAATCTATACATTTCTACTACTTAATGTGTGTTAAACTAAAACTATATTTAATGATATATATGTAAAACCAGAAAAGTTAAATTATAGTCTATAATCAACAAATAATGATTTTCTTAAATGGGTAGTAGTACAGAATCAAAAATTACTGAAAATACTTTCTTAGTTGAGAAAGTGTTTACTTTCCAAAAATGTTTATCATGCACGTCAGGTTCAGAGACTATATATATATATATATATATATATATATATATAATTTTATTGGACAAAAGGTTTTCATTTGCAGCAGCCAGGGTTAAGGTGTAGATCAACCAATTTTGCTTCCATACCTGCCCACCTAATGGTTCATATTCATGCAGCAATATACCATCGATGGTCTATTTGATAAGGAAAGGTTCCATTTCATTAGGGACTAAAATCTGGAGGTTTCCTGGGAGCATGATCTCAATGAAGCAAATCACCCCATTTGTCATCAATATGTTGGCACAATGATCTTCCTTTCTGCTTTTCAACTTGTCAGTAAATATTTGCTATTACATGTACGTCTGGGTCTTCCATCCTATCTGATGGATTCCTCTGGATTTGTGTGTGCGTGTGTGTGCGTGTGTGTGGGTGTGTGTGCGTGCGCAGATTTGTGATCGTGAATGAGGAATGTATGTGGGAAATGTGAGTATTTGGGGGAGCAGAGAAGATTATATGTATATAGTTTACCTTCTAAATCACACCTTTCATACAAATACTAAAACTTAACTGCAACAGAATGAAGGCTGTACATGTAAGGAAAAAAAAGTAGCTGAGTCTTTTTATATACATTCATACATATCTTCCTTAGAATAAACACTACATTGTAAATTTTTTTTAAAAAAGTAAGTAATTGTGGCAATTTATAATGGTGGCAAAAAAAGAAAACCCTGAAATAATTGTTGATCTGATGTCATAAAACTCCCTATAGTTAGCAACACTTATAACATTGAATTTACCAAAAATGGCTGAAGAGCAGAGATATATTTTGCATTTTCTATACAACAGGCTATAAAACGTCACTTATCACAGTCCAGAAAGCACAGAGAGATGGATTTTATATAAACACATGTAATAACATATTAAGCGTGCATGAAAATTTCCCAATGATTGCATCTATACCCTCTTGTTTTTTTCTTTCTGTTTTGAAATTTTAGTGTGAAAATGTGCCTTATCTTTCACATTGTTGAAAATAAGGCCTCCATACTTTGTTTTTTTGCCCTCACAACCAGAAGGGGGCTTTTTGAATGTGTTCCTACACAAGTCTTCAAAAAAGCCAGCACTTTGTTTCAAGTGCAAGTTCCAGCCACTGCTCCAGTTGTGCCAGGTGACGAACTCTGAAAAGGTTTGCAGGTCGAGTCACTCAAAATGACAGTCTTCTCTGGCAATCAGACTAATTGACTTCTCGGGAAAGTGCTAGCACTTTGGCTAAATCCGGGATCACAGGTAGCTTCTTTTTCTGTGTTGTGTTTTGTGTTGTTTTTGTGTTGTGCCTCCCGATGTTGTAATACTCCTTTGCTTTATGAATGCGTGCGATCACCACTGTCTTTTAGAAATGTTCCAGCAACATAAAGACAGGCAGAGTAAATTAAAACACTGTGGATGTTAGGGAATTTATTGACCTCTGCTTTTTTTTTTTTTCTTTTTTGGAGAAACAAGAGCATGAGATACTTTGTTTTTATTTTTTAAAAACAGTCTTTCCTTCCTGATTGCATTCCCTGTCTTCTTTTTTATGTGCTTCATAAAAAGGAAAGTAAATAAGTTTATATTATGTCTCAGATAAAATGAAGACTATTTCTATACAAGGGTCCTTTTCAGATCTTGGGATCAGACGTAATACTCTTTATCCTTGTTTTTCTTGTTTTTGTTGGCGCTTTTCGCACTGCTGGGTTGTTTCTCCTTTACTACAGCCCCATTGGACTGTGCTGAGTTACTGATGTAGTTTCGACTCTCATCCACGTGGTATGAGCCTTCATCCCGGTTTCTGTATTTGTACATGGCGTAGAGGAGGATGAGGATGCACAGGGCGGCAGCGGCTACGATCCCCACAACCATGCCCGTGGTGCTGCTGGACTCCCGAATCACTTCTGCTGAGCCTGGGTATGGCTCTCTCCCGCCTGCCCGGGTTGGGTTGGCTGTAGGAAAGAGGGTGGGAAAAAAAACACCAAGTGATTATGGAGTTTCCTGAATGCCAGAGAGCTACATTTACCGTCTATTTCCAGGCCTAATGGAATAGCATCGACTGCTCTAGAAAAAGGATACTGTTGCTAAATGGAGCAATTCCTATTCCTCTTGGTCACTAAAAACGAGGGACTGTGAATCAAAGCACTGCAACAGAGATCTGTTGCCATCTTTTCTTTTTCACAGATCGATTTTGTTAACAGGTTCTTGGAAGTGTAGCTCCAAATAAGCTCCATGTAGTTCTAAAGGGCCATGTTGATGTGTCAGGTGAAAAACAATAAACCCAACATGGAGAATAAAGTCATAACATCATAATGACTCTACCCTATAATATCAGAGATTATCATTTTAAGAATCGAATTGATATTGATACAAAACGCTTACGGTTCACTCTAGACTGAAACAAGATAGCTAAATTTAGGATTACTTCAGAAATTGTAGTGCCTCCTATTGCAATGAATACAGTGTTGAACAAAAAGATAACCCAGGCACTTTTAATAGTCTAATTGCCTACTTTTAAAAGTGTGATTTTAGTCACAATTTTACAAACGAAAACGACTAATTTTCTTTTCGGTTGGATGTTTATTTGTTCATATCAGTATGTGTGTATGTTATTCATTCACTGGCAGTGGTTGTGATTACCGAAACTAAATTTGAGAGGAGAAAGTAAGAAAATATTTTAAAATACTTTAAAGACCATCTAGACTGGTTTTGAGTCAAAATTCAGTACCTAGTAGATGATCATAAATAAAGGACTGGCTGCCCCACTTTTATTTAACTGACAAACCCTCATTCAATCTTTCCAAAGTATAAAGTTCTTCCTTGGGTACAAGAAATGGATCACAGGGGGCATTACTATTTTCTCCAAGGCCTAGTCAGGCACTGAAACTGACCACAGATGGGGAGAAAAGTCCTGGGATTTAGTTTATAGATAGCAGGAGGGGGGAGCGGCTCTCTTCCTCTATGTAATAAATTTATTATTATTTAAAAGAATTTAAAAGAAAAGGAGCTGTAGAGAGATAAGATTCTATCCCATCTCTGATCACAGGTCATTTTTCTCTAAGGATTGATTGTGTTTTCTCTCTTTGTCTGAATCTCCATCCTCTCCCTTGTCTTACAGAAAAAAGATAACTTTTCAGATGTAATGAATTAAAAATGCTATAACTTTCAAAATGTTATTCTTTGTAAATTATGCATAATGAACTTAAATAATCTCAAGATTGCATAAATAGTGTGTATATGTGGAAGGTGTGTGTGTGTATATATACACACACCAGAAACTGAACAGTTCAAGAAAGCTAAAATGGTAC